CTGCTACTACTACTACGACGACTGCTGCTACTAGTGCTAGTACAAAAGCGACTGCTGCAGGTAAGTACCGAGTATTTCGTGTACTAGTACATCAGTGGAGCCAAGACTGCTTCAACCTTGTCCGCAGTGCCACCTGCACACAGCCCAGCTGTCGGCAGTAGCCCAAGTCATCCGCTGACCACGAATGCATCTTCCACAACGAAATCTCGATGCATCGATTGGCAATTGGGCTGCTATCGAAGCTGAGTGAGTTTGATTTTCAAGACCGTTCTGGGCGTCACACATCCGAATCAAGCTTGCACTCCAATCAGGCGCAACAGCTGGTCCAATGTCTTCTGATTTTCCTCAGCCTTCCGTCAGCATGCTGTCTCAACATGACTCGGCTGCATATTTTGAGGCTGCTTGCCAGACCGTCGCTCTAGGAGCCACCAATGGCCTCCGGGGCAAGGAGCTTCCCTTTCATTTAAGCTGCAATCCCACAAGCCGGCTTCCTGCATGACTCCTAATGCATACGAAGTCTTGCTGTCTTAGGTGCTTCTTGTTCGGCCAGTGATTGCAGCAGACAGTCAACAGGTGCACGACTGCGCGACTGAAGTAGCTGCGTTTCATTTTTGAGCGGTCTTGATCGCGGCTTTTAGGGTGCTTTGCAGTGGTGTAGCTTGTTCATACGACGTTTACGAACTTGAGACTTGTTCATGGTGACCATGGTTAAGCTCAGGTGAACGGTCGTCCGTTTCGCTGATGGTGTACGGACCGGACCTTCAATCTGTGGTTCATAAGCACGCACAAGCACATGCACGCCATGACTTTCGACTCTGACGGCTTTGTCTGCCCACCCTGTTCAATTATTAGTTATGCTGTAGGTCGGCCAGAGTGCGTGGGCGAGTCAATGGCAGAACTAACCCAACATGCTGGTACCAAACCGGCCGCAGATGTTGTGGCCGTCACTGTCTCTGATCTTGTCTACAAGAAGGGAGTGCATACTTGTTTCATTTTTGAAGGCAAAGATTGCTTTATTTATGACCCGCGGAGCGATGCGTGCCATAACGCCGCATGTCCTCCACTGACACAGTCGAGCCATAGTTACTCCTGCCCGACTGGCAAAATCATCCCATATCCATGGAGCTACTCCAGTCCGGCACAGGCTGTGCAACTGGCATGTACCGGGTCAGGCCGAGCAGGTGACATGGCCGGAAGTGGGAATCACGCTGTGTCCCAAACTTTTCTCAAGCGCATGGGCTCTGACACACGGAGTTGTTCAGGGTGCCACGGAGCTTCCAGATGCCCAAAGCTTCTGGGAGTACAACTTGGGTTCCGCATAATCGCTACTGGAGAGCACGCAATTTTCGACACTGTGAACTGCAGCCCGCCAATCGAGCTTCAGCTGCTCATCTACTTACAAGGCTCAGGACTTGGGACTCTTTTTTTTGCCCTTCATGGTGTTCAGCTGCGTCTCGAATTGGGCACCCACTGGGCTTGCAAAGACCAGATGTCCGACGCAGAAAGACAGAAAGATGCCAGCCATGGTGTGACCTCTACAGACTCTACAGTTGAGGGTTTGAGGCGGTGTTAGTGTTCGTGCATTTGGAGCTGATAGCATCGATGGAGCCCCACACCCCATGCACCCCTTCATCAGATGTAAAGTGGCTCGCGATGTGTTTTGCAGCAGATCCTGTGCTGAAGCTCAGTTTCCGCGATCTGATCCACGAGCTTGACTGGAAGTATCATGCTGCGGCAAGGAGCAGCTTGGCAGCTTACGCAAGGCTGTGGAGGACGCCTTTGCTCAGCTTGTCTTACCTGTTGCGACCGCTCTAGTCCACCGAAGTCTGAATCGTGTTTAGTCCCAAATCTAAGTGTTCCGGCCAGCCCGAGCCCCGCCACATCGCTGACTTGAAGTGTCGGTGGCTGCCAGGAGCTTAAAGACCGTGTGGTTCAGCTGACCATCCGGAACGAGCGCGAAGAAATGGCCGCTTTGCACAACATGTCATCCGGACACACGTTGATTGCAGAATGAGCTAAGGAGTCTGGCAAAGCTCGCCGTGCCGAGTCTGAGGACAGACGATTGAGCTACGTCGTGCCTTCTGAGTCTAGCATTCTAGGGTTCAGAAGGGCTGAATGCAACAGAATTGTTGTGCCTGGGGGCTTGAAGCCAGTGGTCAGCTGTCGCAGGTGCGGAAGCGCATCACCGGCCAAGAGGGGAAGATGCAGAGCCTCAAAGATCAGGTGAGAGAACCGGCGAGTGGTGAGAGTGATCATCGCTGGTCCTTGTAAAACGGAAGAGCTATATCCTCAGCCAACGAAACCGTCCTGAGGGTGAATTGAAACACTGGTGATTACAGCAGCCGCAATGCCAGCACTGGAATTCCCATCCACACTGTTCAGCCTCCTTTGCGCGAACGGATTGATTTTGGCCGCCACTGGTCAATATAAGGGGCCTTGGTTTTAGGGTTGTTTGTGCCTACAGCATGTACGGAGATGGTGTCGATAGAGCGTTCTGCCCTAATCCCTACACTTATGTCGATGTTAAAGCCACAGCACTAGAAACAAGTCTGAGAGATTATGGACCCTAAACTCCAAGTCTCAGCCAAAGCCTTCACCTCCCGGATCGCTTGCAAGCAAACTGCTGGTACTCCGCATAGCATCACCAGCAGTATGACTCCAAACCTGGCCATAGCCACACTTGCTTCCTCATCCTGCTCCGTGCTAGTAGCCGTACTCCTAGCACTGGGTAGTGTCAGCGGCAACCTCCCAATACAGTACTTGAACCTTCGGCTGCTTCTGCCGCAAAGGAGGACATAAGTAGCAGAAGAGAACTTGAGCAGAGACATAAACCACCGAAGGCGGCATAAACACATTGGCGCACAAGCGCGTAAGCAACAGTCGATGCACATAAACACATTGGCGCACAAGCGCGTAAGCAACAGTCGCATGCATGTAAGGCCTGCGCACCGCTTGCTTTAAGAACCGACGGCTTAAGGGGTGTGCGCACTTGTATTTTGAGATCTTATAAAGACGACGACGATGATGACGACGACTACTACTACGAAGAGTACTAGTACATACTTGTACGAATACCAGTACTGCTTGAAGTAAGCACAGTTCCGAAGACAGCCAAACTCAGGTTTACACAGGGTTCAGCGCGGAAGACGCACGCAAGGGCACGCGCAAGGGGCACCCCCCAACTTCCACCAATTCCCCCGTCCCTTTTGTGTGACAGTCCTTAGCGAACCCAGCCTTTCTACGGTACCGTGCGTCGCGCATGGCGTTAGTTTCAAGAGAATCTCAGCAAACTATAGGGGTTCAGTCCTGGACAAGGACCTGAAACGCGCAAGGGCGTGCGCAAGGAATTGAAGCTTGAATCAGACTCAAGGGGACGTGCTTAAGGCACAGTTGGCTCCGCGGAAGCTGCACGCAGCATAAACGCGCAAGGGTTTTCAAAAGGTTGAAAAGAGGTTCACTTGTATCGAGTCCTTTCTTTCATCTCCCATGTGCTTTTTCGTCATGCATAGTTCGAACTCCTTCTCTTATACTTAAACCCTCCTGTATTGCATCATGACGGATCTCTCGCTGTGTTCCGCATGTGTAGTGCCGCACCGCACATTCAGGTCGCGCGCCTCTCCAAGCAGCTCCAGGACGGACGAGCCTGTGTAGGCTTGCGGCTGCAAAGTCTCCGCAGCTTTGATGTTCGAGGATAGAGACAGGCTGAAAGATTCTTGCGTGGTCCCATGGTTAAGCACTATCTCTAGCGAGGCACCGAGTTGGCAGCTGATGTTAGCAAGCTTTGTTTTGCAGTGGGTATCGGCACTGCGAACTCTGTGACTCTTACAAGCTCGTCCAGCCCTGAGCTGACACAGCTGCACACGCCTCTCCAGGAGCAGAAAGCGCAGGCAACCCACGAAGCAGCACGAGCAGGGGAGCTGGACCGGAGAGATGAAGAGATGCTCCAAACACTTGCGAGTCTTTGCATGCTCTTTCTCTCTTCCTCCCTCTCTGCCTCCGTCTCGCTCCCTTTCTGTTTGAGTGCTTTGTCACTTCAGTGCCAGGCAGAATGCTATCGGTTGTTCACTCGTTTGCAGCACTAGGGATGCGAGCATTTCCGCATCGCGCTGATTACCAAACACCATCAAGATTTTTGTAACATGGATTTGGGGACGCTCAATCCCCGTACTTCATTTCTTGTGATCCAGTGTGAACGTCATGGCCGTGTCACGATGGACAGTTCAAAAGAGCACCTTATATAACTGCGGGAGAAGTGAGAAGACAAGCCTGCCAACCTGTCATGTAACTTCGGATCTAGGGAGGGTCAGGTCATTCAAAGCATATTTATTTCTTCGGCTTGTTTCTTTTCTCGATGCACGGAACGTGAGGCAGCTTTGGGGCTCGGTCTAACGCAAACCCTTCCCGGACATCAACTGGGACAGGCCAGCCAGGATGCCGGTGTACACAAAACAGATGCATGTTTTGGCGCCCCCATGATCGGAACTCCAGCCGAGTGGAACCACGTGGTTGAACAATCCTGTGCAACGTCGGTTGCCTCCATGGCTGCAACTTTGGTTGTGCGATGGCACCAAGAGTTGCATCAAAACGACAGCATTATAATATATTATGATTCATTGACACCGAAGAAGATGACATTCAGTCAGGCAGCTGAGCTACGTATGTGCATGAGACGGAGTCAGAACCTTTCCGAAATTCTCGGGTAGCTTGATGTCCCAGCTGTTCTATGTTATTGGAAGCACCCATCGGCCAATGCCTCCCGAATTTGTTGCTCCGGCACATCAGGAACGGCAGCCCGCAAGTATGTACCTGTAGATGGACTTGAAGCAAATGCTCCCAATTTCAGCCTCTGTCCAAGTTAACGTGGACGCAAAGGCTTCCAACTGATCGAGGAAGGTGCCCCGCCAAGCCAAACAAAAGCAGTGCCCGGAAGGCAGCAACGATAAACAAAACAGTATGCACTCATTAAATGCAAGCCTTAGCAGCCCAAAGCTTCTCGGGTCCCCGAGCGCTCCCAGGATTCGCGGGAAGCAGCGCTGGCACAACTTCTGGAGGCGATGTTTCAACAGGGCTTTATAGACTTGGAGTTTTGGAGGGGACAGCCCTACGCTGTCGGACCCGCCCATGATGAGTCTGTCCACGTTTCTTCCTCAATCGCAGTCTTCCCATGCAGGAAACCCTTGGGCAAACCCATCCCCCGAAGCGTAGGAAGCGTCTCCCTCGCCGCCCGGCTCACTCGTGAAAGGACCTCCCCCTAATAGTTGCCCACTGCATGCGAATCAGCTGCCAAAAAGGGCGTTGTTGTCGGCCCTGCTGTCTAGCGCCTCTAGGGGCACGGGTCGGCAGGCATCTGCCTCCCAGCTCGCGGAGAAGGCTGCTGAAGCTCGACGCTTCGAGGCCCACGTCAAAGTCTCAAAGCTTTAAATGGAACAATAAGAGACTTCGTCTTCGGGTAGGGGCCCCGCCCGTTTTGAAGCCCCGATCAGCTTCATCGGAGGAGCTGCTTCTTCGCCAGACGAGGCGGGCCACGGAGGCCGAAGAGGCGCAGTCGACTGAGAGATCTCGGTCCCTTCCCCTTCGGGTCCCTTCGGGTCTTCTGAATCTTCTGGGCTTATAGTTCTTCTGATATGTATAATTCAGATGTGAATGCAGTTCATATACATCTGATACACCATCGCAAGCTGGCCTGGCAGGCGCTTCGAGGCGAGCGGGGTGTCGCTGAGGGGGAGGCCCTCCTCCGCACCAAATCACGAAGATGCTTCACAATAGGAGTGTTTCCTGCATCAGTCCAAGATCCCCTCCGGAGCCATCGCAACCAGTTCTTGGTCCACAGACACCAAGTCTAGAGACGGGAGAGAGAGATTTTGAGAGAGAGAGAGAGATATATATATATATGTCGCATGGGTACAGGTTGAAGGCTGTAGCCAAGGACAGGAGGTCTCATAACCGATCTTCCGCTAATTTTGTCTGTTCTATTGCCATGCAGGATAAGGCCCGTGCGACGAGCGGTAGGGGGGGACCCGCCAACGCCCAGCCCCGTTCGGAGGGCCAGAAGCCAAGCTTCGCAACTCCTCGAATCCATCGAGTCGGAAACCCAAGCAGCAGCGGAGTATGTCCTCAATGCGGAAGAGAGGGGGAGGCAGCAGCGAGCCAACTATGCCACGGAAGCCATGGAGCTGATCACCGAAGCAATGGGGCTGGCTAACGATGTGGGCATGCCTGGTGTGGTTGACTATTTGGCAGCGGCGGCAACACGACTGTCACAACTACATACCATACGTACCAAGGGGACGAACAGAAGGGGAACGCCGCTACCCACACCAAACGCCTTCGAGATTGCCGCGCTTACAGTGGGGGTCATGGAAGAGAGCAGTCAGCAAGGGGAACAACCATCGATGGCGGAACTGCTCGAACTGCTGGAACTAGTACAAGCAGGCATGGCACTCCTTACACGAGGGAGGCACAGCTACAACTGGCAAGTCACGCATTGGGCTACAGATGCGGCGGAAGAGGCATTGGCCCTACTCTCGGTGGCAACGGCAACAGACAACCCAAGCGAATTAGGGGGAGCGCCGCCGCAAGTGGGGGATATGCTACCGCGACTCC